CGGCAAGAGGGGGTGGGCTGGGGGACATCGGGTGGGTGGCTCTGTGCCGTGCCAGGTGCAGGGTCTGCTAGTTGGGTGCTGGCAGGCTTGCACCTGGCACAGGCACGAAGCCAGCCCGTGCCCCTTTAAGGGGTCCTGGGCCGGGAGGGGGGCAATAGAGTTTCCCTGGTGTTGGCCAGAGTGGCCACCAGGGAAAGCTGGGGAGGGCTAGCCTCCCACTAGTTCGAATTAAGGGGCTACACACCCCTTAATTCGAACTAGTAAGTTCGAACTAGGCTTAGTCCTCGTAGACTGAGGTTTACCTAGTTCGAACTAAGCGCTCCGCTAGTTGGAATTAAGTTCGAACTAGCGGAGCGCTAGTGTAGCGCCTATCAAAGTTAATTCGAACTAACGTCCCTTAGTTCGAATTAACTTTGTAGTGTAGACATACCCGTAGAGTGTTTTGAAGGCAAACTGAGAAACTTGACTTTTCAATATTACTGAGAACTGAAAGCTTTATGTATGTATTTATTTAAATTTAATCTTCCTGGATGAACAAAGGCCCCAGTTTTGGACCCAAATGCTGGATTGTGATGATGACAGCTATTAGTGTCTGCCCAGGACAAACATCTACTTCTCATTCAGCAGAATCTTGATATCTCTAACAAGCTGACCTATTTTTGAGTGATGTGAAGTCAATCTGACTTCTTCCTTCCATTGAAAATGTCTCCTTGCTAGGACCCTGTCTTACTCAATGTTGTTTGATTAAGAAACTAGATGACATCCTACAATCGCTCTGGAATACCACCAGCAGTGCAGCCTTAAACAGCAGTGCCTTGCTGCCAATCCTACAAATTAAATAGTGACTGGTTCTTCATGGAGAGCTGCTCTTTATGTGTGTTCCACATATGAGTATGCATGGGCACTATGACTTATGATTGGATGTTTCAGTCGTGTACAGGAGGTCTCCAATTTACTAATGGGTTTTGTTGCAAAAGTTAATTGGTAAATCAGTTGTTTAGAACTAAGAACACATTTTTTTCCATTGAAACAATGCTATAAGTGGTGGTCAGAGTCCTAGGCTAGCCCACAAAAGCTTATTTATTGCATAATGTAACTGAAATATTGTATATTTACACTGACAAATAGTAAAAATAGTTTATTTCTACTTGAGGAAAAGCTGATTTAATTAGAGAAGGATGAGAAGGTAAGCGGATATTCTGAAGGGGACTTCTGGATATCCCTGTCCATCCCCCTGCCATGGGCTCTGCACCAGCTTCTGTAGCATCCCCTCGGACATCCTTGCCCCTGTAGGCTGAGCGCTAGGTCCAGAAGTGCCCAGTCACTTCCCCCATACCCTAGTGGGCTGCGACCATCTGCAG